CCCCAAAACCCCAAAACCCCAAAACCCCAAAACCCCAGCAAAATATCATATTTTTGATAATTTGTTAAGAAAATGAGTGATAAATTAGGAAAGATCCGGAAGCTTTTGGCGAAGCATAGACTAGCAGGTGAGATATAGGTTGATTTTTAGGCTATCTTATACCTCATAATGATGAGCATATGTCTGAATATCTCAATCCTAGTGATGAACGTATCCATTTCCTTTCAGGATTCTCAGGAAGTTCAGGTATATGCTTAGTGACTCCTACAAATGCCTTTGTATGGACAGACTCTAGATACTGGATTCAAGCAGAGAAAGAACTTGAACACGGCTGGGAAATGAAAAAGATGCGAACACCAGGTCATAAGGAATGGTTTGAATGGGCAAAACAAGAAATGAACGAAGGCGATATTATTGGCTATGACCCCAAGGTCGTACCACAGATGACAGTTGAGCAAAGAGGTAAATTCTTGAAGGAGGGCAGTATCGAGATGTTCTCAGTAGAGGACAACCTTGTTGATCAAATCTGGGGAGAGGAAAGACCCCAAAGGCAAAGCAGTAAGGTCTCTATACACCCGACTGAGTATTCAGGAAGAACTGTTGCCCAGAACATTGAGGAGATTATGAAGAAGATTATAGACAAGAAGGCTGATGCTGCTGTAATTTCTACCTTAGATCAAATCGCTTGGTTGACAAATTTGAGAGGAAATGATACTCCATATAATCCTTTATTTTACTCGTATGCCGTGGTCTATAAGAATAAAGGGGTTGATACGATCAGACTTTACGTCGATAACGATAAAGTGAGTCATTTATTTGGATATCTTGCTGACAACAAAATTGAAATTTCACCCTATGAGCAGATATTTGTGGATATTTCTACTGGTGATTTTCAAGATTATAAATTAATTGTTGACCATAACGACTGCAATAGCAAAATTTATAACTCTATTAAAGCAGAGAATGTGATAAAAGGCCCTGATTTAATTGGAGAAATCAAATTAGTCAAGAACAAGACTCAGATCCAAGGCTTCAGGAATTCACAGATCAGGGATGCAGCAGCACTTGCAAAGTTCTTCTCATGGCTTGAATATGAAATTATGGAAAAAGAATCAAACTTAACTGAATATGAAGGAGTACTCCAACTTTTAAAATACAGAGAGGAGGAGGACTTATACATGGGACCTTCTTTCGATCCTATACTTGCTTCTGGAGCGAATGGGGCAATTGTTCATTACAAGCCAACTCAAAAAGAGGCATCTCCTCTTAATCCAAAGGAAATGATTCTCTGCGATTCGGGGGGTCATTATCTGGATGGAACGACTGATACAACTAGGACTTTCCATTTTACTAAACCAACGGATTACCAAAGAGAGATGTACACAAGAGTCTTAAAAGGAAATCTAAGATTTGAAAGAGTCAAATTCCCAAACAAAAACACTCTCACAGCTAAGGAAATTGATGTGCTCGCAAGGTCTCCTCTTTGGGATATTGGCAAGGATTATGCTCATGGAACCGGTCATGGCGTTGGTCACTTTTTGAATGTTCATGAAGGTCCATACTTGAAAAAGTTGAAACCAGGTATGACTTACACAAATGAGCCTGGCTACTATCATGAAGGGGAATTCGGTATCAGGATCGAAAACTTGTTGATATCAAGGAAGGACCCTCTTATTGAAGGATTTATGTCATGGGAAAATGTTACCAAATTTCCATATTGTCGTAATTTGATCAATACCGATTTGCTATCTCCTGATGAGTTAGGACATATTAATGGCTATCACATTGAATGTAAGGATATATTGCTACCAATCTTGCAGGACAATGAACTGGCTTTGAAGTTCATAGAGAAGGAGACTCAACCTTTAACTCATTAATTCAGATGTTTTCAATACTATATTTTAGAATAGGGGTTTTGGGGTTTTGGGGTTTTGGGGTTTTGGGG